AAATAGGTGCCAGGCGGGAGATATATAGTGCCGGGCGCAACGCGGAGTGCCGGGCACACCGCCCACCGCCGCCCACCGTGGCAGAAACCCTGATCATTGTGTGGGACACAACCTAGGGTCGATGTAGCCTCTAGTACTATAGCCGCGGATCGCTGCCGCAGGGCTATAGCACATTCTGCCATTAGTATGTAATCTAAGCAAAAATGCGTCCAAACTGATGTGACCAAAAATTTATCCCCAAAACGTAAAATGATCGGGCTTTTTAACACTTATCTATCAACATGGACATCTCACCTATCTTTTTGAACACTTCCACAACTTTACACCAGGTATTTATGCTGTTATTCCTCAAAGTCTTAGCACTGAAGAGTCACGCGTGCACACATACGCAGAGCAACCGCATTTGAAAACAAAACACCAGTAGTGCTAAGACTTTGAGGAATAACAGCATAAATACCTGGTGTAAAGTTGTGGAAGTGTTCAAAAAGATAGGTGAGATGTCCATGTTGATAGATAAGTGTTAAAAAGCTCGATCATTTTACGTTTTGGGGATAAATTTTTGGTCACATCAGTTGGACCATTTGCTTAGATTACATCTATGGCAGAATGTGCTATAGCCCTGCGGCAGCGATCCGCGGGCTATAGTACTAGAGCTAGGGTCGATGATGCAACTAAAAATTGATGAATTGCACATGAATTTGTAAAGTTACAAATTGGAGTCGTCCCACAGGGGAAGAATGGAGTAGGAAGCTGAGATGAAAGGCTTAAAATTGAAACTTCCAACAGATTCTTAATAGAACCGGTTGCAATCTTCAATTAGCAACGTATTTCTGCTATTTGCGGAGTAAATTTTGTGTGTTAATTGTGGCATTTTAGTATGTGTGGAATAAGGAAGAACTAGATGATCTTCCAAAAACAATGATTCCCGTGCTACTTGTCAGCACAGAAGGTGGCCCAAGACCAAAATCCAGACACGAAGAGTTCTTCAAGACGGAACAATTCAAGGTATTTGCATTAAGTAAGCTACAGTGATTTATGTCTGAAACTATACTACTAAATTATGACATTCCTTTTGGCTACATTAAAATAGTTTACTGTTGCTCAAAGCAGTGGATCCTAATCCTTGGGCTATAACCCTGGCTAGATAACCTCAATTACACTGCCAAATTATTTCTACAAAATGGAACAACTGAAAGTCCAATCGGATTATGCATTGCTTATTGCAACGGTTTTATCGCTGTATTATGGACTATATCATGATACGTATCAATAATTATCATATATTGTAGCCTAACTATCGTGATAGATATAGTGTCGGGGATTAGACATGTCATTGCATTCCTAGAAATCATAGTTGCTATTTCGTAATTAAGACCACTATTTTAGGGCTATAATATGCCAGAATGGTCGTCATTGGATCATGCTCCTTGCCACCAACCCGGCAGCTCACATTTTTTCACAAATGAACTGGTTTATTGCAAACCAAGGCATCAGCTGCCAGCCTAACCCCATGACCGGAATTTGGGTCAAATGCAAAAAAAATATCTTGGCTTAGACAGAAATAGATGCAATAAGGCAGCTACTACTGCTTCATGCACAGTTGATGTAATGTTGGTGATGGTAGTGATAGTGATGCAGGGGCGGATCCAGGATTTTTGAAAAGGGTGTGTCCAAGAAGAAATAAAGGGTACTTTTTCCTGCTTACTTTTTCTCGGCAAAAAGATGCCGAAGGCCACTTAGGGGGGGGGGGGACCTCCCCCAATATTTTTTTTAAAAATTGGTGCATTCTGAGAGCATCTGAGCAGTAATTTTGATGTCTAGAATGCAAAAATTTATCAGATCCGGTCCCCCGGATGCCTGCGGATCCCTCTTTGCCAATTTCTAGGTTTTTATAACGAACTTACATATATATATATATAAGTAAATCTTTATCAGAAAAACTAGCGCTAAAGGGCCGGACACGCCAGGCGATGCCATCGGCCGATGGCGTCGGCGTGAAAATCGCCTGGTGTGTCCACTCAATCGCCGCCGATGCCCCATCGCCAGATCAAAACGTTTTGATATTATCGCCCGATGCCATCGGCGTTGGCATCGCCTGGTGTGTCCACGACTGCCCGATTGCATCGGGCGATTTTACAATTCATGCCAATCAGAGTTCATCAGCCAAGCGCACTGCGCGGCGCAAGAAATCGCGGCGATGCCATCGCGATTGAAATCGCCTGGTGTGTCCACGACTGCGCGGTTGCCATCGGGCGATGCATCGCCCGATGCGCCATCGGCGATGGCGTCGGGCTATGCCCTGGCGTCGCCTGTGTGTCCGGCCTTAAACAAGATTTTTTTATGGAGGACAATATAAGAGAAGTGGTGCATGTGTGCGCAGGTCGCGCGCTGCGTGCGTGCGTGCGTGCGTGTGTATGCTTTTTTCCCTTTTTTGTGGTATAAAAGGGGGGTCCGGACCCCCTCGACCCCACCTCTGCGATCCGCCCCTATGATGATGATGATGATGATTGTAGGTTGCAGCGAAGGAATTATTTGAGAAAAATGATGATGATTATGATGTAGATGATTGATAGTGATGGGTATGATGGTGATGATAATGGCAGGGCGTCAAGTTCCTATTTTTTCCTATTTTCTGGGCAATTCCTATTTTCTCCTATTTTCTGGACAAATTCCTATTTTTTCCTATTTTCTGGGCAATTCCTATTTTCTCCTATTTTCTGGACAAATTCCTATTTTTTCATATTTTTGAGGGCTTTTCATTTTTCTGAATCCAGAATTGTATGTATCTTTCTCAGAATGCAGGAATTTACATTTCAGGTGACCCAATTTTCAAAAATTTCCTGGGGGAGGACTCCCAGACCCCCACCCCTTACTTTAAATTAACGTAATATACTCTTTACTATCACAGATTTTATTTCAGTAAAGTTGTTTCTCAGTTGGATGTGGTATGTGTATCCAGAGGGGGGTCCAGGCGGTCTGGCCCCCCCTTTTTTACCCCCAAAAAAGGGAAAACACATAAAAGATCATGTTCTGCTTAAAAATTTGGAATTCCATCTTGCGTTCTAGACATCAAAATTACTGCTCAGATGCTCTCAGAATGCACCAATTTTTAAAATTTTTCTTGGGGAGGTCCCCCTAAACCCCCCCTCTAAGTGGCAACGTGCCTTATAGACACGTCGCATAAGCTGCCTTCGGCACTTTTTTATAAAAGTGCCCTTTATTTCTTACTGGACCCCCCCCTTTTTCAAAAAGCCAGATCTGCCCATGTATACATGTACATCATACTATTTTGGAGTAGTCTACATGTATGGGTGCTTATGCATGTATAAACTGCTTATCAATTTTAACATGCATTTCTCATTAAAACCTCAAAATATTGTTCGCATGTGATGTAACTCCAAATATGTATATTAATAAAACCATTTGTGGTGGATCGGGATGGCTGTAGGAGTGTTGGGATGCCATCTAACGCAACAAATATTCCTATTTTCTCACCAAAATTTCTATTTTCCTCCTATTTTTGCACATCTTAAATTCCTATTTTCCTATTTTTTGAGCGTCACTTGTCACTTGACGCCCTGTAATGGTAACTTGTGCTAATAGCATTCAATAAGCATCCAATAGCATTCCAATAAGAAAGACAATTGCTGTTTGCATTTATAACTTCTCCTTGTTTTCCTAGGGTGGTGCTTACATTGGGCAGCTGACTAAACTGGGTCAAAGTCAAGGTTACACACTTGGCCAAAAGCTTCGAAAACGATACGTAGAGGAAGTACCGTTTTTGAGTCCCACATATGAACCTGGAGAGATCTAGTAAGCACTTGTGGATGTAGTGTGCAATTTTTATCGAAATGTAAGGAAATGTCTGGCCCCCGGTACTCTCTCTCTCTCTGTCTCTTGCTTTCCTTCCTACCACCCTCTCTCCGTCCCCTCAATCTCTTTGTCTCCATCTACTCATCCTTTCACCTCTTTTCCAGTACAAAACTCTGTGTATTTTACAGTCTCTGTTTGGTGAATTTAAAATTAGAGCAAGCCAGTTTGTACATAAATTATCAGGGCTAATTTGGATAGACACATGTATGTACTAGTATAGAATTGCTTCCATATTAAGTTAGCTTTCATCTTCCAGTGCCAGATCAAGTAATCTCAACAGAACAGCCTATTCTCTAAGATGTGTTTTGGCTGGACTACTGGACTACCCACGTAGAGAAATTACTGGTAAAAACGGCTTGGTATATGATAAAAAAATAAATAGAATTCCACATTTTTTCTGCAGATGTAAAGTGTTTTAACTGCATTTCATTAAAGGAAACCACGTCACATTGAATTGTGATCATGGTAAAGTACTGCGATAGCACCCCGTGTGTTTTGATATTGTTTGTATTCAGACATGGTTGAAATCGAGATAAGCCCATCAAAAGAAGAGAATTTATACCCGAATACCAACTTCTGCCCTGCTCTAAATGCAATGCAGACTGTAGGTACAGCTCCCATGTTAGCTGACATGTGTATACCTGGTCACAGGAAGGATAGAGAAACAGTAGCTAAGCTTATTGGTAAGCACTTCAAAATATGACTCTTAGATTAAGTATTTCTTGTGGAGGTCAATGCCAAAATCTTTAGTATGTGAAGTTAATGTCATAAACTTGATTATTTAACAGAATAATGCAGCGTAATGTAATATTATTCAAATAAGAAATGTGCCAGAAAATAGCCAGAGATGTGGAGAAGGAAAGGGGAAGGTGGAAAATGTGAAGAGAGAGAGAGAGGTAACAGAAGAGTTTCCATCATCATTTCTGAGCTAGCTCAAGCAGCCTTTGTGCAGCACGTATGACGTGAATGTGTGACGCATTCAGATAGCTGTTTGTACTATTTTTGCCAACCAACAGTTGAATATATGTTGTAGCAAACTGATTTGTTATACAGGTATTCCTGCTGATCTTTTGAGCTTTATCAAGTATCGTGACTTGATATCCTGCGCCGAATCGCACGGGATGGAAATCCCACCTGATCTGAAATGCTGGAGTGAGAAAATCACCAGATACGCATCACAGATGCTCACGTTTGTGTGTGGAGGGATGCCTGATCAGTAAGCGTAGCTGAACTACGTGTTAACAAAATATACAAGCTAACAAAAATTCACATCGTGTCACTGTGCCCTAAGCTTCAGTTTGCCCCGAGAATCGAAAACCAAATGAATACCTGCGCCTACCAATATCAGACGTTCTTATTCATAAAGTCTGAGCTAATTTACCTGGAACTCTAAACGTTTTATGGAAATGAATAAAGGCCGTGAAACGATTTCGTTATTCGGCGCCTTTTTTGCAAAAGTTCCTTTGCAATTTTGGCCCTGTAATTGACGTTGTGTGACTTTGCCTTTGCAGGGGTGATCTAGTACTACAGATGGGCGTGGGACCTTTGCTCACCATGGTTGCGAAGAATGTATTTAAAAGCTTGAGTCATCAAAGGTAAGTGTTGATCACATCGTTGTGCTCTGCACTGTGCATGTATCGTGTTATGTGAAAAGCGAGTGTGGATGATAGAAAAGTTCAAAACTGTAAACAATGACACAGTTTGTCACTAAAATTGTTGTGTTTGTTTAGAATACTTGTACACTGAATTGCTTGGTTATGTTTGTATTGAAAGGCTTTTGTCTTTCTTTCAGTAAGTTTATCATTAGCCTAAAGTTCTGGGGCCCATTGTCAGAAACAAATTAGTCTTAACATTAACCTTAACATTAACTTTTTCTCTTAAAGCGTTGCCAGAAACTTCGTAAAGTTAAGAGAATTAAAAATTCTCGTAACTTTTCTCTTAACTTAAGAGATCCTAGACCCTCCCTTAACTTTAATATTAAGATGAAAATAACACATTTAGACTAAGAATTACAATTATAGTGATATTATATTTTATATTAATGAGTAATATCATGTTTTTTTCTTGAAAAAACACGTCAAAAACATTAATTATCTACCGATCGTGAAGCAAAACAAAAGTGTCAAAACATTTACAAATGCTGTATGGCATTTGTTCTCTTGTTTTAAATACTTTTGCACTGACCACACGACTCTCGCGTCTCGTGAGAATTGCTACAGTGTGAGAATTTGTCTTGTTGTGCAGAACCTTGGTGCAGAATAAATTCAAGACCGTGTCGTTTTTCATCAAATATTATTTATATGTGGTTAGCCATCATAATATGCATAAATTACTGTGATGTACAATAAATGTGTATGAATTTGAATTTTGTGATCGATTCCCATCCAATCAGCAGCCTTGTGATGAAGTTCCTGTTATCGTAAGTTTTCACTTAAGTAAGTTTAGTTCAAGTTGGTTTCTGGCAACGCTATTAAAATTAACCTTAACATTAACATTAGACTTAAAATTAATCGTAACTTTACGAAGTTTTTGGCAACAAGTATCATTTATCTGGTCATTAATTTACCATTGCTTGAAGGTGGTCAAAGTTGATGTGAAGCTGCCACAGTTCAGAGAAAATGTATAATCCGATTCCCCTGCCCACTGCATGCTATCATATAATAAATGCGTGTGGCATCAGAAGATACGAAGACGGCGGTCTATTGTACTACTTGGCAAGGCTAATTTCATCTGTTTGTTTTTTCTCAGAACATATAAGATGCAATTGTACTCATGCCATGATACCACCATACACGGACTGCTAATAGCGCTTGGAATACCGGAGGATGGCTGGCCACCATACTGCGCAGACCTAGCAATCGAAACGTACGCCCGCCAAGACAAGGCTGCATTCGTCCAAGTGAAATACCTCGGCGAGGTGAGTTTTTGTTCAGATAGTTATATCTCGTCTGGATGCCCACAGGCGGTGGCGTCACATGTATTCTGTATCTCGCTGGAATAATTGCACGTGTGATCATTTAATTACGATATGAATCCAACATTATCACTGACGCAACAGTTTTGACAACTGATCCGTTATATTTGTTATGCTGACTCTGTGTTGCTTGATCTTGTTATTAGGCAGATAACAATAGGGAAGATAAGTCTGTTGCATCAGCAATAATTTTGGATTTGTAATGTATATATCTGTAATTAAATGACATAGTATATTATCTGTAATGTATGCGTATCTGTAATCAAATTATCTTACATTGTACAGCGAAATCCAAATACACTGTCAGGGTTCTGCCCATGATTTTTTAGTGCCGGGCACATTCAGTTAGCAAGCGCGTAGGCGAGAAGCCAATCTAGGGAGGTCCGGGGGCATGCCCCCCTTGAGCATTTTTGATTTTTGATAGTCTGAAACTCAATTTCCTGCATTCTGAGCAATAAAAAGCCCATATATATCAGACTTTTTTTTTTCATTTTTTTTATATCAAAAATTAGTGCCGGGCGGAGATATATAGTGCCGGGTGGCAACCGCGAGTGCCGGGCACACCCGCCCACCGCCGCCCACCGTGGGCAGAACCCTGACTGTTCCAATAGTAATTGTTGTCGTAGAGCTGAAAGCAAAAGTCTTGTGAAACCATGTGACGTTTGTATTATAGGTTCAGAAGTTGCCAACGTGCAAGGACTCGCTGTGCACGATATCAGAGTTCAAGGAGACTGTGTCACGCTACTACGTCACAGCAGAGAAGTGGGACAAGCTGTGCGGTTCCAACCCAGAGTCGAGGAGCCAGGCTGCCCAGCAACCATACGTGCGACCCACCGGTGTGTAGCCATCGCTCAGGGCCTGCTCACCACCCATGGATAGGTGTTTATAAGCTAAACTAGCAATAGGCGGACATCTCTTATGAAGAGTGTCGGGCCTGTACAAGTACAGTGGAACAGGAGATCCCTTTAGTTTCGAGGGGGGAAAAATAATGTCGATGGTTTTCTCTAGGCTCGGGCACTTGTTACAGATGCATACATGTACGCAGATGCCAATTTCATCGTAATAATACACCTCTCAAGATTGTCTGACTACACACATTGTCACATTGATGCCAACGTTCCTTTTTGGGATAAATACTCGTCGAGTATATTGTAGTCCAATTTTTATTACAGCATACTAAAAGTTAATTTCATGCATGCAAACAGCCATCAACCTAATCTGCTCAATTAGAAATAATTCAGGTTGGTCTGATTGTTGTTATTGTGATATTGTAAAGTACTTCACAGTTAAAACTGTAGTTGCATTTATGAGTGAAATATATTTTATTATACATGGTCGTAGGTAATAGTCGGAACTTCAACTGGAAAAATGTGAAATTATGGTCGCTATGTAGCACATTTACCAAATATGTTTGGCAGCATGCAATATTTAAAAGCTCATTTTCTCCATTTTGATTGTTGAAGAAAGGCATGCTTTTTAAGCATTTCGTTTTGCAGCAGTATTGTCTAGTGGTAGGCAGGAGCAGCATGATACGTAATTGTGTGATATTTATTGTGAACAATTTTTTAAAATGTGCGGTGTTCATTCAGTCAGAAATGCATATACCTTCTAGTTCTACAGGTGGCGTATGTGATGATACCTGCCAAACCTTCATATCTTATTAGTGCAAGAGAGCTGTCTTGAGAAGAAATACAAGTGAGAAATTGCTACTAAATTATGGAGTATCATTTAAAAAGTGGTTTTATGTAAATATCTCAAATCCCCTGTAAAATGACAGTCTAGATGCATTTAGTAATTGTATTCTTACTAATCATGTTTATAATGCCATTGATTACAGTTAATTTTAACTTCACTAAGTAGTGAGACTCACTGTCATTAGTCAGGTAGCTAACGAACTTCGTGCGTGTAGGATGACGAGAGGATCTTGTCTTGTGTGATAATTGTATAAATTATTGTTCGTAAACCTGCATACGTTCTCCGTTAATTTCCGCTGTGTAGGTTTAGTAAAGTATACCATTCTAGAAGGTCCGGGAGATTGTGTAATTCATCAACTTCACATAAGTGCTTTCGACCAACTCTTTCTGTCGTCGGATATCGGCCTTGGCCGTCTGCTATATCTCACAGGATGCAAAAAATTAGTTTACATCACTTAAGGGCCAGTTTCAAAAGTTCATGTTGCCTTCTGCTAATAATTTACTGACAAAAAATTAAAGTATGCTTCGTGACTTTGGGTATGAGGCATGCGTCTATGGGACATGTCTACCTCGTTGAGTGGCTGCACGTGCTTCATAATTAATTAATTGCTACCACATTCTGAGATGCTGGTCCGTCCTTTTTTGCAAGTTGCTAATTTAGGTAGTCCAAAAGTGGCAGCGTAATAATTGATGCGAGCTTGCTCGCATTTTTAGCTCATCTGACGAAGTCGGATGCAGCTTGTAGAATCGCATGATTGTCCGTCCGTCCGTCAACAGTTGGGCACAAATCTTAACCGCTCGACGTACGGTCACGATATTCGGGACGTCGGAGGGGATCGTGAAAAGGACTCAGGATGACAAATGTGTAAACGGAGGGGGAATATTTCCCCCTTAACTTAAGGTATAGGAGGAAATACGGAATTGCGGCACAAATCTGAACGGCTCGACCTATGCTCTTAATATTCGGTGTATAGTGTGATGGGCAGGAAACCCATCACCAGTGCGAAATTGGAGGTCACAGCTCAAAGGGCAGTGGTGAAAGGTCAGATATCAGACATTTTCTGAGGACAGGGCCTAATGGACAGAGTGAAAAACTTTTTTGTTTCAGCGCTGACCTACCATTTTTATAACTTTATTGAAAGGACCATGAAATGTCCTTTCCACTGACGTGCGAAGAGTAAGTGTCTGATAACCTTTTGACCCTGAAAGGGAGGGTTCCACGTGGATTTGTTGACTGTTAACAAAGGACTGAACTGCTTTTGCTATTATTAGAGCCCATACCTGTGTGGATGTGAGGCTACATTTGCAGTTCAATTGCAAAGATAAAAGTTTGTTGAACAAGGTTTACACTCCTTAAATCATATTATTTTCTAAAGCAGTCTGTATATTAATAGCACCCTGAATGCTCGCGTGGCTACCGTCATCCGAAATGTAGGCAAAAACCCGGGGGCAACCCATTACTCATGCATGGGGGTGAACTGGCACTTTTCTAATAAACATGCACACCTGCAATGCAGATGTGTTTAATTTATTACTCACAGCTGAGCGAAATTGTCGCCTGCCTGAATATACTTGGATTTTAGCCTGTACATTTCAGCAACTCAATGGAATTAGGTTATCTCTACTGTCTTGACTTATCACCAATGCACGAAGGGCGATGCCATCTTTGATTATTGATTACACTTGCACGCGCCATCTCGCGGCAACTATAGGCCTAGTGATACATTATGACACGAATATATATAAGACAGTCGAGCAGCTATGAAGTAGGATGCATTGTTAGGGTTTAGTTTTAGTGTTAATACCTATGCTACACAGTTTTGATGATGACATAGCCGGTTTAGCGATAGAACAGGCTTTCAACCTTTTGCAGAAACGAAGGCCAGTACAGTAGAGCAGCAGACCTCAGATGAGCACTGTCGCTAATGCGGCACTTGTTTGTGTTTATGCAGCCATTTCTAGAAACGACAATAAAGTAATATTATTTAGAATTGCTGATTCAGATTAAACTAATTCGATGTCAGGCAGCAACAATAGGTAACTTATTTATGAGAGCGCAGCGTCAATGTTATATTATAACGTTTGTGCATCCTCCTTTGCATCCTGAAATAGTTCATTCACACATATTATTAGCCTGTCCACGTAGCACGCTACACGCGAATATTAGAATTGCTAGAAGGGTGTGCAGGATTACATCAAGTACATAGTTACATTTACTAGATATATTACTGTATATACTATATTACTGCTTTTTGGCACATTGCCTTTAGAAACATGCGACCTGTTAATTTTCCATTGTAGTGGAGGAGGCGCCCACGAAGATTAGAATTGATTGAATAGATTAAAGCCAATCGATTTCAAAAGCCTATTGTGACCTTGTGTGTAGGACACATAAGAGAAATGTATTATTCCTTCATATTGAAGCAATATGAAAAGTTGAACCTAATATATATGTTATGTACCAAGTTATTTGTTAAGAGAATGTAACACTAGTACACAGTGCTAAAACTAAAGGGTTATGTTCCTGTAAACCATGTTAAAATTTATAGAGATTATATATTCCATTCTGTATCACATGCATTACTGTAAAAAAGGGAAAAAAGATCACTGGTTGAAATCCACCTCAAATACAGGACATGATATCAATTGACTTGGCTGCATTATTGTACTATGTGAAGTAGCACAATTTCTGTAAAATACAACTGTTCGATCATACCTGCACATTAACCATGATCACATGCTTCATTTCATTTTGTATCTTAAGTTGAATCAGCTGATATATCTAATCGACTCTTGTATAGTGTACGACTGCCGCAAAATTACGCTCAATCTGTATAAACAATACGTAGAATGATATCGATTAGTCCACTGCACTTTTATTGTGTTCGTTCATGTCAAAGTCACAAAGCTAGATAGCATTCAGTATAGAGTGGGTACATATGACCTTTACACTCTTCACTTCATGAATGATTTGTGTCTTTTAAATTATTATCATAACGACACTGGCTCTTATAAATATCCATTCTATATGTTGAATATGATGACAAAGCAATGTCCACACACTGTGAAAATAAATACACACACCCTACCCAACATGGCAACTTACACAGGTATTAATGTGTTGTCAGCTTTGTATCTTAATAATTATCTTGCACCATGTATGCACTTTGCATTAAAGGCCTCAGCTGTAGCATAAATAACCTTATGAGGGTCTGTCACTGTTTGTCCTGAGATAAACCTCACTATATCACTAGAGCGAGTGAGATAAAGCGGTCACACACTAACAATGGCAGAACCTTTTACACCCTTGAAATATAATTATTTCACAAAATTACTGACTTATGGGTGCAGACTCTTGGGCCAAAGCATAGAGCGATGGCGTTTTGATGTGTGTCAATCAGCAAGGTATTTTACTGATTGTGTCATTGTTGATAATGTGATCTCGAAACAGTTTTGAATTAGTTGAGTTAGAGTAGTGTGAAGTGTGAGGCACCATTCGTCATATATAGTTATCCCACATTGGATTCTTAACGTAAATAGCACGTGAGAATCTGAATTCTTAATCTGCTATCAATGTGATGGTCACTACTGGTGACTGATCACGTACAGATTTTCAGCGATTGCACTGGTGGCAGCATACACAGTGGTATACAATAATATTGCTGTACATGGACAATATCTTGGCTAGGCAATTCCTCACTTGACAGATGTAGTCTAGTTGGCCTACATCTTTAAGTGGGAATCTTGGCATTAACCTCATCCACCTCCACCTCTACTTCCACCACCACGGCGACCAAAAGTAATTTGACATGCTGGCCCTGCAGCACCAGCCAGAGGTGAGTAATCTGTCACGAAAACAAAAACAAAATCAGAATGAATAAGTTGGTAACTCTGTATCAAAACTAATCATTTAAAAAAATTCATGTTTGTCAATGGTAAACAATCACTAATAAGTTCAACTTAAATATTAACTTATCATGTAAAACTTTAAAAGCATGTAAGAAGACAATGAGCAATGTTTTAAATACAACTTATAACACATTTAAATACTGAAATAACATTTCTAAACATTATTTTCATAGTGTAAATGGCGTACAGTAATTAGAATAATAGAATTCGTGATGTCTTTACAAATTGTGCGCAATTCCATTTTTAGCACCCGCCATCTGCAGACTATCACTTGCATGAACATTCCTGACAAATTAAAAATTTAAATGAAATAGGCAGATGAGGATGATTGAATGACTAGAAGTTTGTGAGTGATACGATTTTTTTGGGCATGAACCAGATTCTAAGCCACAGAGCAAGACTCACCATTGTGGGAAATTCTCTGGTCAACATCATCTTGTAGAATCAACTCTAATTTTCAGCTTTTATTGATTCAGCTATAATTTCTTATATACAATTACCTTTCACTTACCATTATTTCTAAGTGGTTTACTTTTTGTAGACTTTGGTGGGGGCTGTGACGGTGACGCCTTCTCATCATTCTGAAATAATACCAATATGATTTTTTAAACCCTACATCAACTTGAATGGAAAATCTGACAGAATAAAAACTTCCACATATATATTCTTATCTACATATTCCAGAGTTCTAAATGAAGGGCAGCAAGCAGCAGTTTTACTGCCTACAAGGGTCAGTTTGCTGCCTGCTCTCAACGTCGGCAGCAAATAATTGCTGCCAACTAATTTCTAATAAACCATAGTGAAATCACGAACGATTCTGCCTGGGTGAGTAAATTTGCTCCTTGCCTTTTTTCTCTGGCAGCAAGTATTTGCTCCATAGCAAAAAATCTCAATTTCTAACCCTGATATTCTATTAAGAGATAACAGTAAAACTACCTTTTTTATTTTCGATCTGTAGCCAAGACCTTGAGTATGCTTCTCCCAATCTTCGATTTTCTCCTGTCTCTTTACCATTTCCTTCTAGATGGGCACATAAGGGTAACATCAAATAAAGGCCTAGCAACAAATACTTGACCAGCTTAAAACTCCTGGGACAACTCCTTGGTTAATGTCACATTGACTCAAAAATTACTTTAACCTTACGATGGTACTTCATATCGATATAGCTCAGCAAGTATAACATTACCTCAGCCTGCTGTGATTGCCATGCGGCAGCAGCTCCCGCATGCTCCTCTTGCATGCGTCTTCTGGCAGCCTCCATGGCTTCCTGTCTAGATTGAGCTGTGCCAGCATCTAAACATTTATTTACTTAAATTAACATTAATCAAAATTACTCAGACCAAGGAATGAGGTAAATACATATAAGTGTAGGTTCTGCTTAACGGCATGCAATCCTAGCTGTGTATAGCATATTATCATATAACCCTAACAGAAAGTGTAGATTTATGATTGTATGAATAATACCCCACAATGTAATGCTAGATGCAGGGCACAACATTCAGATTTTTTTGCACTGGCCCAGAGGGCTGGTAACAGCAATTTTTTACCAGCCCTCACCATAATTTACCAGCCCAAACAAATTTTGTTTGAAAATCAATATCATGTTTCACGCTTTCTCGATTTCAAATTTGTAAAATGTTGATAAATCATGGCATGATATCCTTCAGGTAAAACAGTAATATAGGCTCTTTGCTCATTAATGCTATAAATAAAAATGTAGGTACTCGCTAACACGGCTGAAACCACCGGTTCTGAGGGCTGGTGTTTTGTCAACGTTACCGGGCCCTCCAAATAATTTGCCGGCATATGCCGGTGGGTTGGTGCTAATTTCGTGCCCTGCTGATGGGTGTATCTTTGCTCTAGTACTATAGCCCGCGTACAGTTGCCGCAGGCAGCGGCAACTGTACGAGGGCTATAGTACTAGAGCAAGGTGTATCTCTGATATGTTTTATATTGATATGCTTTATTGAGCTATATAGTTGAAAAAGAAGTGAGGATGAGCATTATGGGTTTGATTGGGAGGATTGTCGCCAGTCCAGGTCAGAATTGGCAAGAAACAAAAATGAACAGGCATCCTGAACATGCTTCCACTGTTCTCTCTTGACCTACGACACACAGCACCTTCACTTTCACTGGGTTCCAAGTGCAGTGCTCGAAATAAGCATTGTCCGGTTGTCCGAGACAACCAGAATTTGTGCTGGACAACCTAACCAGTCTGAGACATTGTC